CGTATGTTCTTTTCTTTTTTTTTTTTTTTTTTTTTTTTTTTTTAAGAGATCTTTTGCTATAGGGCATGTGCACTTGCCAGAGAAACAGAGACAGAGAGAGTGAGAAATCACCCCCCAGGGGCGATGGCCATGCCCCAGTCTCGTCTCCATTCTCCTGGGATTTGTAGCACACATGCACAGGTACCCAGGCTAAGTTTCAAGCTGCTGGGTCTAAGACCCTAACCCCAGTTGTCCATGCGTGAATCCAGCCCCTTAACCACTATGTCACCTGCTGGCCCCAATCTGAGAGGTTTTTAAAGAGACTTTGGCTGGGAGTACTTTTTGAAAGCTTCTACCCTAATATGGTGCTTCTCTAGTTATGTTCTGGGAATTCCTGGGCATCCTTGAGACTCTTTCAAGGGATCCAGAAGGTCAAAACTATTTTTTGATGAGATGCCATTGGCTTTTTCCATCCTCCCTTTTTGACAAGTGCCTTGCGGAGTTTTCTGGAGGCTGGGCAGCGCACAGAGCCAACTGAACGCAGGGGCAGCTGTGTGGCTCCAGCTGTTTCCTTTTAAGCCAGACGCTAAAGAGATTTATAAAATGTAAAGTAAGCTTGATTCTTACATAAAAATGTAAAGTTTTATACATATTACTATGTGATAGGTTTTTAATGCCTTTCTAAAATGTAGTAATATATTAAAAATTTCTTTTCAGGACCAGCAGGTAGCATTAATGGTTAAGGTGCTGGATTTACACATAGCTGACTGTGGTTTGAGTTCTGGACCCAGCAGTTGAAAATCGTGCCGAGCATGTGTTATGTGTGTGTGCCCAAAATCCCAAGAGCAGGGTGGAGGAGAGGGGCCTGTGGTGTGGCCATTCCCCTTGGAGGGTGATTTCTCACTTTTCCTCTCTCTGTCTCTGTCTCACTCTCCAGTGAGTGCATATGCCCTATGGCAAAAAAAAATCTTTAAAAAAATTAAAATTAAAACGTTTCTTTTAGTTAGCACTAACATAATAAATATACAACCTAAATTATCAAATCCATTTGGGAGTCCTCAATTTTTGAGCATTGAAAGAGATTCTGAGGGGCCAGCAGGTGGTGTGGTGGTTAAGGTGCTAGACCCCCCATGGTCAGCTGTGGTTCGAGTCCTGGACCTGGTGGCTTGCTTTCTCACTTTCCTGCTCTCTCTCTCTGGTCTAATTACAATAACAATAATAATAACAATAATAATAAATAAAATTAATTCTTTTTAAAAAGAGAGATTCTGAGACTAAAACGTTTGAGAACTGCTTCCTTGCTCTAGGAATCTTGGTCATGTTTTCCCCTTTATTTTATTTGTTTCTTCATCATGTTATAAGGACACCCAAAAAGTGATTCTCTTTCAGACTATGCAGTCCAGATTTTCCATGATGCTACAAAGACTGGCAAATTTGAGTGCAACCTGGGGGCTGGCACGAGGCTCCCCATGATGTACATTGACGACTGCCTCAGGGCCACCCTGGAGGTCATGGAGGCCCCAGCCGAGGCCCTCTCCATGCGGACCTACAATGTAAACGCCATGAGCTTCACGCCCCAGGAGCTGGCCCAGGAGCTTCTCAAGCACATGCCGGAATTCCAGATCACCTACAATGTGGATGCTGTTCGACAGGCCATAGGTTGGTACTTCGTGGCAAACCTTCCCAGGGCCATGAGAAGGATCACCCCCCAAAGGCATGATCCTTGGAAGGATAGGCAAAGTACACCCTTCCCGAGGGTCTAGACACAAGCAGAGGAGCTGCTGCTGAGCCAGAGCCTGCAGATGCTCCAATGGTGACATGTGGTCTCTAACATGGCTCAGTGGTTCCATCCAGGTAAAGCTTATCAGCTTTCACCATTTTTAAAATAATTTATTTACTATTAGTATTACCATTATTTGGGGGGTTTGTTTGTATGTTTGTTTAGAGAGATTTTGCTATAGGGCATGTGTGCTTGCCAGAGAGACAGAAAGCAAGAAATCACCCCATGTGCAGGATGTGCATGCCATAATCCCTTCTCCATTCTCCTCTCAGGATTTTGGGCATGCACGCACACACACACACCTGGTGTGAATTTTAAGCCACTGGGTCCAGGACTCGAACTGCGGTCAAGTACCTGAGAGTCCAGCGATGTAACCATTATGCCATCTGCTGATGTCTGTTTTTAATTTGTTCTCAGGCACATATACCAGAGAGAAAGAGAAACTAAGGAAACAAGTTGCCGGATCTGGGACTCAAACCATAGTCAGCCATGTGGGAATCAAACACCTTAACCACCATGCCACCAGCTGACCCACCATTTTTTAAAAAATATTATTTATTTATCTCTCCCAATGTTGAGAGAGACAGAGACAGGATCTTGATGTTGTGATTCACCCTCAACCTCAGACAGCCCTGGATCATGGGCACATGTGTGCCTGGTCACTCAGGTCTCTGGACACAAATCTGGGACCTTCCCATGTGGGGCAGCTTTGCAGAATGTCATGCTTTACTGCTGTGCAACTATCTGTTCCCTAACATGTCACCATTTTTATAGTTTAACATCAGGCAAGGATAAACTAAGCAGTTGAGATAGTATGAAAACAGCCCTGGGTGTTCAAATACTGTAATTGACACTTTGTGGCCTGAAGCCCCCTTCTGAGTATAAAATTTCCCACCTTATAATGTTGCATGAAATTTTTAAAATGTGTGCAAATTCATGGCGCCTGGTAGTAGATGTGCATATAGTTCCCTGACTGGAGAAGGCGACTGTATGTGTGTAATAGCAGTTCTGCTTATTGTTATTTAATTTATTTATTTATTTATTTTTAGAGATTTTAGCTATAGGGTGTGTGTGTGCATGCCAGCAAGACGGACAGAAAGTGAAAAATCAACCCCTGGGGAATGGCCACATCGCAATCCCTTCTCTTTGATTCTCCTGGGATTTTGGGCACGTGCCTGGTATGAGTCTCAAGCTGCCAGGTCTGGAACTTGACTGCAGGTGGCCACATAGGAAGGAGTCCAGCGCCTTAATCACTATGCCACCTGCTGGCCCCTTTATTATTATTTTTATTTTTAGAGTTGTTAGAGTATGCCTGTGCTCACTGGAAAGAGAGGGGAAGTGAGAGCACCACCCGTCTGTGAGGGATGATCACACTGCAATCTCTCCTCCATCTCTCCCTCCTTTGAGATTTTGAACAGACACACACATGCACCTGACGTGTTTCTCAAGCCTCCAGGTCTGGAACTCAAACCCCACAGTCAGCCATGTGAGATCTAACCACCCCAACCACACGCCACCACTGGCCCAGGAACTTCCTTTCTGTGCCTTGTATGATAGACCTTTATATGAAGCGTTTAGACCTTTGTGCTGAATAATGTGAGTCCTCTGGCATCTCTTTTCCTAGCGGACAGCTGGCCGATGAACTTTGATGACAGCAATGCTCGGAAGGACTGGGGGTGGAAACATGATTTTGATCTTCCAGAGCTGGTGACTACCATGTTGAACTTCCACGGTTCTGACACCAGGATCGCCCAGGCCAACTGAAAGAATCCAAAGGAAGAAATCCTAAGTCCTGGATCACCAACAGGGAGCCATCAAGCCCCCGAGGTTATAGATTGTAAGGAAATGATGTTATCTGGAGTTGAACTGATGGGACTAAACTTTGGCAGCTCGTGTTGAACTGCTTGGTGGGGAGTGGAGTTAGCTTTCAGCAGGTTTAAAATGTCAGTCTGGTGGTAGAACTTTTCACCCTGCTGTTTGCCTAGACGTCCTGACACACATACCATGAGTGAAGACTTGAGTCAGAGTAGTTTCTATATATTTCCTTAATTAAGATGAAAGGACCATTCCTGGGAAGGTGGAAGTTTGTGACATTTGTATTTAATTCAATTCAACTTAAATTTAAATAATACTGCAATACTGCAAAGGCCCCAGGACTCTCGTGACTAGAGAGCAAAGATTACATTTTAAAGACTTTCAAAGATGTTCTTCAAGTTTAAAAGCATTCTTTACAATCCCACCACAACATAAAAAATGATTGGCATATTCTCATATTTACCATATTCGAGAGATTTTAACATTGATTCAGAAATCTTCTAGCTTATTTTTCTGTAAGAATATGTATCTGTAGGAAGTTGGGAGTATCCAAGTTGATACACCTAGTAAAGAGGCCTCTTTGATTGCCCTCCTGAGATTGATTCAGTGGGAGACGGGAACCTCGGGATGCCACTGGTTCCCCCGTCCCCTTATAGGGCACATGCTAAAATCCCTCCTCCATCCTCAGGATTTTAAGTGCATGCACATGCCCCCGGCATGATTTTCAAGTTGCTAGGTCCAGGGCTTAAACCACTGTTTGATTTTTTTCAAGCTGCTAGGTCTGGGATTCGAACCATGGAATCAGCCATGTGGGATCCAGCTGCCTTAACCTCCATACCACTTGCTGATCCCACCACTGATTATTCTAAAGCAACTATGACCCAGTAGTTGAAACCAATTCCAAACACTATTTTCTAAAGAGCCATCACTAGTTATAGCCTTTTTTTTGGGGGGGGGGGGGGGGGGTTTTTTGTTTTAGGGCCCGTGCTCACCAGAAAGACCGAGAGAGATAGAGAGACAGAAAATGAGAAATCAACCCCCAGGGGGGATGGACACACCGCAGTCCCTTCTCCATTCTCCTCTTGGGATCCTGGGCACGCACACACACATGCCCGGAGTGAGTTCAAGCCACCAGGTCTGGGACTCAAACTGCGGTTGACTACATGGGAGTCCAGTGACATAGCCATTACACTAACTGCTGGTCCCAGTTGTAGTCTTTTTAAAACACATTCTCAGACTGAGCTTTGAGAAGCACTGTTCCAAGCCCTCTGGTGCAACTACTGTAAAGCTGTCGTCTATGCAGACTAATGTCTCCCAGCTACCTCGGCACCTGCTACTTGTGAAATCACTAAAAAGTGAAACTCCTGGTCCACAGCTTCATCTTGGATATATTGTTAACAGCTGTCAAGGATGAAAAGGTGTTTATATTATGAGCTTAATGACAATAAAATGTTACACATTTGGAATTTGGGATTGTTAGATCATCACATGAATTTGTTTGGAGAAATTTAAAATCTAGTGTGTGTGTGTGTGTGTGTGTGTGTGTGCGTGTTGTCGGCTTACGCAAGTTCTCACTATATCAAAATCCACTTAGTCTTGGAGTCACTGGAACTATAGGCACAGGCCAGCTTTCTAGGTTGGGCTGGGGATCAGCCTGCCGAGCAGCAGCATCCAGCATGCACTACTGCCACAGCTGGACTCTTTTTTCTTTCAAGCCATTGGGTTCAGAACTTGAACCATGCTATTGGCCATGTGGAGTCCAGCCGCCTTAATCACCATGCCACTGGCTGGCCCGCCCTATTTTTTTGTTATTATTTATTATAGAGCACAAGCACGCACCTATGTGAGAGAGAGGCACACCCTTCACATATTCTAGTCACTCTGTGAGCCCCTTCCTCCAGCCCAGGCCGTAGGATCTTGGGCACTTGTACGTGTATCCAGCATGTTTCTTGCTGAACAAGTAGAGATTTGAACTGCAATTGATAAATGGGATCTGGCTTCTTTTGAGCTGGCTCTGCCTTACCCTCTTTGGATTTTAACTGGGGAACTTTTAGATAACTGAATTCCTTTTCTTTTTTCAATCAATCAGCTAGCGGGCACGTGTGCTAATTGGAGAGCGACAGAGAAAGTGAATGAGCACTCCCAGGGGCGATGGCCACGCACAGTCCTTTCTCCATTCTTTGGATTTGGGTCACGCAAGTACATGTACCCAGCATGTGTCTCAAGCCATCGGGTCGGGACTCAGACTACAGTCAGCCACGTGGAATCCAGCTGCCTTTACCACAGCATGGACTGGCTCTTATTATTTTAAAGTTTATTTTATTTTGTGAGAGACAGAAAATGTACCTCCTAACAGAGTGCCACCCTGATCCACCTCCAGGCCCAGCTGGAGCGAATCACAGGGGTGAGTGCCTGTTGTGCTGAGGGAGGCTGTGGGACACGAACCCAGGACCTTTCCTGTGTGTCTAGTTGTGCTACCACTGTGCCACCACATGGCCAGTTGATTTATTTTTACTTAATTTTTAAGTAATTATTTTATTGTCATTTAAAAAAATTTGGAGAGAGGCAGGGTGGGGCTGGGGAGCAAGAAAGCAAGCTACCAGGTCCAGATCTCTGGACCCGTGGTGGGCCGTCTGGGTGTCCAGTGTCTTAACCATCATGCCTCTTACCAGCCCCCAACCACTTGGTTTATTTTTATTTTTTCAAAGAATCATTTAATTTCATTCATCATTATTATTTTTAAAAATTAGACCAGAGAGATTTATTTTAAAAGCTACATAACTGGTATAGACTGGCAGAATGGCTTCCCACAAAGAAGGGTGGTGAGAAGGGCTGTGTTAGGTCACCAATGAGTTGGTGACCCAAGAATACACCATCAACATGAATAAGCTCATTCATGGCACGGGCTTCAAGAAACATGCCCCTTGGGCACTCAAAGAGATCTGGAAATTTGCCATGAAGGAGATGGGGACTTGAAATGTACACGTTGATTCCAGACTCATCAAAGCTGTCTGGGCCAAAGGAATAAGGAATGCCCTATACCGTATCCATGTGCGGTTGTCTAGAAAAATGCAGTGAAGGTAAGCATTCACTCAACAAGCTCTACGCTCTGGTGACCAAGGTACTTGTTACCACTTTCAAAAATCTACAGTCAGTGTGGAAGAGAACTAACTTCTGACTTTCAAATAGTTATAAAACTGCCCCAAAACCCCTGCATAACTTTTCATTGTATGGATTTACAGAAATACATTTAACTGATTCCCAAGTGATGGATGTTTAAACTCTTTCCAATCCCATACTATTACCAAAAAATGCTGCCAAGAACAACATTGCCAATGTGGTAAAGTTTTATCATCAAAAGAGTTTAAATCACTTTCTGGGAGTTTTGAAGGATAGAGTTTTGTTTTTGTTTTGTTTTGTTTTGTTTTGTTTTTTGTTTTTAAGAGAGATTTTTTGCTATAGGCCATGTGCACTCGCTGGAGACACAGAGTCAAAAAGTTAGAAATCTCAGGGTAGATGGCCACACTGCAGTCCCCTTTCCATTCTCCTCTAGGGACCCTGGACACGCATGCACATGTGCCCAGCACGAGTTTTAGACTGCTGGGTCTGGAACTTGAACCACAATTGCCTATGTGGGAATCCAGCTATGTAACTTATTATGCCATCTGCTGGTCCCAGGATGGAATTTTGTATTTTTTAAAGAATTATTTATTTGTTCACTTATTTTAATTTGATCAGAGAGAGAGGGAATGTGAGAAACCAAGCCACCAGGTCTAGGATTTGAACCATGGTCAGCTATGTAGAAATGTCCAGCACCTTAACCACCACTCCACTTGTAGGATGGAGTTTTTATACACAAATAAATATAAGCTTTAAGAGATAATAATTCCTGGGGACCAGCAGTTAGCGTAATGGCTATGTCACCAGACTCCCAAGTGGTCGACCATGCTTCAATCCCTTCTCCTACAGTCTCCTCTTAGGATTTTGGACATGAGTGCATACGTGCCCGGGTGTGATTTTCAAGACACTAGGTTTGGGACTCAAACTGCGGTTGACCATGTGGGAGTCAGCTGCCATAACAACCACACTACCTGGCTGGCCCTAGTAGTCACAGTAAAGCAAAGATAACTGGTTGTCTTCCCAAGGAGCATATAATGGCTAAAGTATGGGTCCCCATTCTGATACAGTTTGAAACTTGTTAGTTTTGTTGGTAAGTGGTATACAGTTGACCATTTAACAACCTGGGTTTGAATGGGGTTGGTTTACCTATATGAAGATGCTTTTCCATAAATATTATTAATAGAGTTTTCTCTTCCTTATGATTTCCCCAATAACTATTTCTTCTCTCTAGCCTGCCTTATTACAAGAATACAGAATGTGATACCTACCTAGCATACAACACACATGTTAATACACTGTTTATGTAATTGGTAAGCTTCTGGTCAACAGTAGGCTACTAATAGTTGAGTTTTGAGGGGGTCAAAAGTTACATGCTGGGGCCAGCAAGTGACATGGTGGTTAAGGCACTGGACTCCCACATGGATTGTGGTTTGAGTCCCAGACCCAGTGACTTGAAACTCATATCCGGTGCATGTGTGCCCAAAATCCCAAAAGCAGAATGGAGACGGGATTGCAGTGTGGCCTTCCCCCAGGGAGTGATTTCTCACTTTCCTTCTCTCTTTCTCTCTCTGGTGAGCACATGCACCCTAGAGTAAATATTCTGAAAAAATAAATAAATAAAATTTTTAAAAAGTTGTATGCTGATTTTTGACTACATGGTAGATAGTACATCTAATTTTCATATTGTTCAAAGGTCAACTGTAGTTGTTTTATGAGGGGGAAAAAAGCCCTTGCACATCTGCTAACTATACACCATATGCTTTAAACCAACTTCGCAATGTTTATTAAATTCTGGAAATAAACTGCTGTTCTGACATATTTATTCAGTCTTGAAACAGATGGGAGTCTGTCTGAGGAGGAGAAATGAATTTTTAAGAATCTGTTCTAATAAAAGATTCAGGAACTATCCCTGTTAATATTGAATTTTGGTCACATAATTGTGTGGAAACTGTTGTCAACACTTCTGTTCAGTAAAGACAATTTATAATTTCCTGGAAAGACTCCTTTGCAGTAATAAACAATGTTCTTCTTCTTTTTTTTTTGTTCTTTGTTTTGTTTTTTAATTCTTTTTTTTTATTATCATCATCATAATCTTCTTTATATTACATTGGATTACATATAACTTTACAGTGTATTACATTGCTTTTTCAAAAGGGAATGCCATGCATGTCAGTCAGTACAAAGACATTAATCTCCCCACTTCAACATTCGATATCTTTTCTATGTTTTCCCCAATCATTATTATTATTATTTTTTAAAACAGTCAATCGCTATTTCTCATTTTGCTTGTAAAAATACTTTGCCCATCATGAAATACTTCTCAGACCAATCCAGTTGAGAATACATGTCATTATCAAATTTAATAAGCCATATCTGTTTCTCACTAACGTCCTGCCTCTCTTGTTCACTTGCTATCTTTATGTAACTGGTAGATAAGCCTCCCTCCTGGCTGTTATTCTTTAAAAGCATCTTGGCTGGGCCAGCAGATGGCGTGGTGGTTAAGGCTCTGGACAATCCCACATGGCCAACCATGGTTTGAGTCCCAGACCTGGTGGGCTGCTTTCCGCTTCTCTCTGTATGTCTTTCTCTGGTC